TCGACGTGAAACTCTATGGGAAGCGGGCAATGTCGCCCAAACCACAAAGTGTAGGGTGGGTATCCGGTACTAGCCCGGACCGTGACGTTGTCCGCCCATATTGCATATCGAAAATATCGTGGCCAATCACTGTCCTTACCCTTGCACCACTTGGACAGCGACGCTATCAGACTCTGGTGTCCTCTCTCTACTGGGGAGTTCGTTTGTGGGTGATAGGCGGTGGCTGTCGAAACTCTCGCCCCAGCTCTCTTGAACACTCCTGAACTTCGTCAGCCACGAATTCCGATCCTCTGTCCATCACTATCTTGCCGATACAACCATACCTAGATAAGTACTCTAGGACGAAGTTCTTTACTTCCTTCGCCGCCTTACTCCTGATAGGTTTACCGTCCACGAACCCAGTGAAATCGTCTCGTATGTTCACGACGTAGTTCATATTGCCTACTCCTTTCGGCATTTTCACTAGATCGATGTGTACCTTCTCTCCTGGTCGGGTTGGATAGGATGCATGAAGTGGTTCTTTATACCTCACATGAGCCCTCTTCTGGCATTCTTCGCAGGTCATACAGTACCTCTCGACGTCCTTATACTGCCCTTCCCACCAGTACAGCCTGCGTACCTTCTCGTGGGTTCCTTTAATTCCCCTATGTCCTCCGACTACCCCGTCGTGAAGTTCCGCAACTATCATCGGTTTCTCCTCAGAATCACAGACCACTCGTAAGGGCATCCCCGATCCTACCGGTCTTCGGAAAAGGTGGCCCGCTCTAAGGCAGAACTTGACGGCTTGCTTCCGAATATCTGAATCTGGACTCTCCTCACCCATCAGGTGTAGCCCGATCGCTCGGTACTTGCCCTCGTATAGGTTAACCAGAAATCTCTTGGCGCGTCTGGGTTCCGCCAATGTCAGGGCCCCAGCTACTAGCGGGCGCTCAGTCTCAAGAGGGATCCGCGAAAGCCCATCTGCCACGGCATTTTTAGTGCCAGATATCATTTCCACTGTGTAATCGTATAGCCGAATCCGTATCAGCCATCGGGCGATGGTCGGGTCCGTCAGACTAAAGTCCTTCTGGAGGACTGAGGCAACTGCGGTAGGATCTACTCTTAAGATGAACCGTCGCCCATAGATATAGTGCCTGAACGTATCCAGACACCGTAGAACAGCTAACACCTCCTTGAATTGACTGTAGTTACGCTCAGCCATATTAAGTGTCCTACTCTCGAATCTTAACTGTCTTTCCTTCCCTCCTGCGTCCTTCTGAGACAG